TGGTTATTGTTCGAGACGAACAATACTAAGGAGGGGGCAGGGTTGCGTCAGCGAGGACACGTGACTTGTATTACGCCACTCCTTCTCTCGAACCTTCGAGAATTATCGGGAGATTACTAGATATGTGTTAATCTGGTATATATAAGATGGTCACAACGTGACGGAACAGGGTAGTATTGAGTAATTGAACTGCATTCGGACCAAATATTGTTGGCCACGTGAGATATAGCGTTTGTTATAGCGCGACTGTTGAGATTAAGTGTATCGTATAGTTGTATTCGGAAAGAATAAACCAGTTTTGTTAAGAAAGGACTTGTGTCGCTAAAGTTTCGTTGGAACGAAGTTACGGAAAATCAACTAACGACTGGAGGCGTAACAATATGATGGAAATAGATCTAAGCACCTCTCGCCAATTAACATATATTTTAGAAATAAAGAGTTAATAAGGCCACCTAATGTTAGAATGAACAACCTACATTAGTTTTAAACTAAGCTGAAAACATTTAAAAGGGTTTTATATCCAAAATGTTTTCAAATTAGGATTAGAACTGGTGAAATATGTGTGTTACTTACTGAACTGTTCCAGAACTATGTAATATCGAACATAAGCGTGAATGTAACTACCGATACCTATATGGACATTGCTTTGAAAGAGGTCTGTGTAAGTGTGATTTACTCTGACCCTCATGTTGTATCTATACATACATTCTACAGCAACTATATAACATTATACAGGAGGGAGGAAGAGGTCAACGAACCTGACCCTTCCTGGTCTTTAAAGACCTAAATCCCGACAATGAGAAAGTGCGATGTATCATTCGGATAAAGTGAAAGTGTATTCAACACATTAATATTAATATAATTACATACACGGACATGGCCCTGAAAAAGGTCAGAGTGAAAGCCAGGACTAGTTAAACTCTGGCCCTCTTATAGTAATTAAATCAATATTAAACAGAAATTAATCAACTGCGGGAGGGCGGAAGAGGTCATTCTTGAACCTGAGCCTCTCAGGTCTACAAGACCTAAATTACTATACCTGAAACAGCAGTGTAAAATAAGCTCTTTCTAATGACTATAAACGCGAACATGTTGAAATTACATGTAACTTCTGAAGCTCAATGTGAAGGTGAGCGTGGCACCTACCAGGGGTTGACAAAATTTATTTCTTATTTCGACTGCATTCAGTGAAAGTACTTTGAAACATGCATGTCAGAAGGTCAAGTAAGCTACATTCTCGTCTAGACTTACTTGTACGTGAATACCCCTTATGCTTCAAGTTGTATTTCACCCAACTTCGACATTGTTTATAGCCGGTGAGTCACATGACACAAAAATGAGAGATTTCGTTATTGCTTTCAATGTTATTGTTTGTTTGTTTTTAAATAAAGGAATAAGACTAAGGTAATATAAAACTTTGAAGTATAAAGTACCTGTTCATAATAATTTCATTAAAATACATTGATAGTAAAGTGGTTTATTTAAATTTTGAATGTAATTCAGTAACATGCCCAGAAAAGGTTTTTAAAATGGCATCATCGTTATAGAGTTAAATATTCTAAAAAGTTAAACAAACTTACAAGTGCAATGTCTGTTTCATTACTATAAAATAGTGCAGTGTTAATAAAATTAATCCTACTGGTCTTAGTATTTCATGACAATAATGACAAAGAGACCAACAATGTGTGATGACTTTAAAGTAATAAAAATGTAATGAAACCTTTTCCTTTTAGGCGGCCCGGCACGGCCAGATGGTTAGGGCG